AGTATATCCAGGACCGCTCCTTTCACTAACAACCATCGAGACAGTTCCGTAAAAGTCATGGTACAGACTTATTGGACAGATGCATGAGGAACAATGTTACGATGTGAATGGGTCTGATTAAATATAAGTTTTAACATTAAGCAATGACTGCATTGGTAGCTAAGCTTAATTACGCATCTATAACATGTCTGGTATGCTGCATACAATAAACAACTTTTATACTGCTTTTTAAATAAACATTTACCATTTGTGATGAAATGCAGACTTCCGGAAAACATCCTCATTTTAGTACAAAACTGATTTAATTTTTGAACTAAGCGAATTTAGTCCAGGAATTTAAAATTGCAGTGTGAAAACGCGATGATCTTATCTATTCGCAAATAATGATGAAAAATAGTGTTCGTCTTAACTTCATTAACGAACATCATCATCATATTTTGGTCTTTGGTCAACATTTCACTAAAATATAGGCAGATTTAGTTTTTTGTTTTGTTCAGGTGCATCGAAGCCTAGTGCCAAATTTGTATTGCTTGAAGAGCATCACTCGCCGCGACGCGCTCGATGAGCGACGATAACGATGTAATTATTAATACATAAAAGAAACATATAAATAATATCACTATGGCAACCATATATTAGTTTATATTGTTCAAATGTTATGAATTATCGTGAATACTATAATTATGAAACTTCATAAATACAAATGCAGTTCTCATTTGACAATAATGTGCTGACTCAGAAATCAGCATGTCTACTGAGAAACTAACCGGTTTGAATCTCAAAATACTAAATAAACACATATAACCATGGCAACAAAGTGTATTTCCAAATTGAACTGAATAATTCAGAACCTCATACTAACCTCCCCACTTTCTGTATTCTATACAACATTTTCTAAATTAAGTGCGCCTACGTTTATTTTTTGAGGGGCTGCATTTATAAACTGCAACTACGCCTTAATAATCTAAACACAATTTATTAAGTAGTATCTAAGGGAACGTGATCTTTACGTGGTCATCTGTGCAGCGTGGTTGGCCGATTTGCGCAAATGATCTTATATAGAAGTTACTATGCATCCAACTGGGCCGTTGTTGGTCTCATGTTGTCACCCAATAAATATGGTAAATTTATGACGCTGGGAAAAGATCTACAGTGACCGATGTCAAACGGCGAACCGTGTAATAAAGGTTGATGTAGTTCACAGTACATAACGGCGTTCTTCAAATTCTAATGGTATAAGAGTGAAGTAGCAGCTTGAGGGTCAATGTCAGCCATATACAGAAAACACTTTTGACGTTATTCAATTTTCTACTTTCTATGGTGAAAAGGATTAGAATACAATTGTTTTAATATTCTATATTGATCAATATGTCTTTACGAATGCTTGAGATACTTTACTTATAAATGTGATGATTTTTATTATTGTGATATGTTGGTGTCATATTCACTGTATAGTTGGATGCATTTGTCAACGACAAAATGGTATTCAATTTGTAAATGTGATGTACATTCATTCAATTAACGGTCTATAAAAAAGGACTTCCAACTATTTTATGTCACGAGAAACCTGAGAAGTGAAATATAGAGCATATAGAATATCAAAGCACTGGCTGGTCGATATATGTCCATAGAGTCGTGCTGTGAATGCCATATTAATTGCTAGGACGTATCAGTGTACCGTGGTGCATCAAAAAGCCGGCAATACAGTTATGCTGATTACGGTGTCGTAAACACACTATGCAGTACCGCGTGATTGTGTGCAACTGAATAGAACGTTGACAATTAAGTAATATGACTGCTGTTAGTGGTGGTCGTGCGAATTATTTGATACGTTAACAGCTGTTATTCAATACACGGAAGAGTTCCCATCAAGCGAATTTGGCGCGCTTTGAGGCGATGTACAAGAAATTTTGCATTATTGAAAGCGCGGAACAAAACGAGTATGGAGAAGCACAGCAAGCGGATGAGTCTTCACGTCTTCATTCACCGTGGAAACATGGTTTGAATATAAAGCTAAGAATATGATAATGTCTTCGATATCAATTTTCAATATAAATTATTAACAATAGATCTAGAACGACATGTTTTTCTATTCTTCTAGAAATTAATATTACATATGAATCAGTAATCACGTTCTTCTTATACTTATACATTTCGTTTTCTACACAATTATCATCAGTTGTCTGCGTACCTTGATCGTACGACGTATTCGTTAGTGCATTAACTGCATGCAAATTTTGATATCATTTCAATAGAGTGTAGCTTGTTGTACTTATTTATGTTCATATTCAATGGCAGCTTGGTGAGAATTACAAAAGAGAGACATAAACTAGTAGGTATAAATTACATCAAATTAAAGTAAATTAGGGTGGGATGATTTAACCTATTCTAAATATGCATTTAAGTATGTAAGATGCAACAGTACGAGCAGTGCAAGGTTGTTTCTCGGCTACTTCTATTTTCAAATTACGCTCTATCATCTTTGCATTGCCTTGCAGAATGGTAACTATCTTATTATTAAATCTGTATTGCAAGATGTGAAATGAAAAAGAAGAAAAAAACTAGATAAAATACACAACAATACGCTATCGAATATAAGGTGTGTGCATAAGTTTGCGGCACATAACATAAAACAGAGAATACATATGCGTTAAATGATAAAAGCACTATAAGGATCTTACTGTCACTTTTACTAAAACGAGTATAGAGTGAAAACGTCTAAGGGCTTATACATAAATTTTAACATCAATGCTGCAACTATAAAATTAGAATAATAACCGCGGTATCTATACAATTACCAATAACCACACTAGGCGTTACTCGACATTTTTATTACAGTTGATGAGTGATACTATATCACAATACCGTAGAATATATATGAATAGACAACTATAGTATACAAAATGATAGTGCGGAGAGGGGAATCTTATATGATAGTTTATATCCCAATCAAAGCACGCCGTCCTCGCGAAAAATGTGATGCAGATAATCATATATAAGAATGTTGATCACGATGTATACTAGTATATTGAACATAAACCATATCTCGTCTTACTCTAATACTACACGATACGCAGTGTACCGTATTTTTATTCGTTTGTGTTGTGCAATATGAGAGCGTGAACATTAGCCATTATAACTCCAACATGAGATACGGACACTATGCTACGTAAGGCGACATATAAAAAGACACTTAGCAACCATTGACTCTGGGATAAGGATCATCATTTTGAACAAACATTAACTAAAACACATATGTTACCCACTGCATAATGCGCCATGTACACTCCTAACGTTGGAATACTATCCAGTAAGTAAAATGTATTGATCCTAATAATCACTTTCCGAGCTGTGAACGAAACCTAGCAACCCCTCCGCAATCAAATGGAAAAGTCCATTCCACGTCATACTCTGCTGGATATGTACAGCCTTTCGCATTGTGCAAATTGACGGGCGCCGACCACATCAGTCCGATTCACCGTCTAACTCGACATCCAGAAGGCCTATTTTGAAGATTTACAAAATCATTATTTACGGACGCCAGGAATTCGAGTTGCATGAGGTAAGCAGATACTATATTAAGAGCGGGTGGGACGCATCTCGGCACGCATTTAGATTATCTTTACGTTGTTATCAACACTAACATACATAGTGCATAACTATGTTAGTTTGAACAGTAAATGTTCTTTGTCGCATAGCCATAAAATATTTTTTTCATTAAACTCGTTTTTCACGCATTCACAATCACAACGTCAGGATGTGTTCTAAAGACTCTCAGTGTATGCCGAGTACATTGTTATAATGCACTTAGAGGGCTCGATTGAAACTAAAAACGTGTAGATTTGTACAAGACCGTACTATGTATCTACAATGTGTGTATGCAATGTAACAGACGATGAGTTTTGAAAAGACCTTTCGATTCACAGGAGACGAGAAGTTGATGTAGTCCTTGGGTCGCGGCAACATGTGGCATATTAAGGGAGAACGTTTGACTGAAATGTTAATGTGTTTTGAAAGTGGAAACGCCGTCCAAGTAGAATTTTGGATGCGCACACCACATGAACGCTTTAGTATAATGTTACGACGTGGAATCGTATTGGTTAGCATGAGTTTGTTCACAAGTAGGGCAGCGGTGAATTATCACTCTTCGCACCGAAATGCGCATTACGAGTCCCTCGGTGGTATTTTGACGCCCGGAATGGTTGAACTACATATCAATAACTAGATACTTCTAAATATTTTGACTACACAAACGCGTCGGAAATGGCGACAGCGCAGAACGTTAAATTTCAAAGCAGAACAAGTTGTGTAAATTACAAATGGTCCAAATAGGAATCTAAAGGGCACTTCCGTTCGTTGTTTCATGAAGTTTGAAACGCAGTTACCACAACAAAGTAAACGAGTGGGAATTTGTATTACAAATGGTCACAAATTAGGGTTTTACTGGTTCAAACTAATTTTTTTGAGTTCAGGAAATTTTCCACATTTTGTCAGTTCGACCAAGATATGCTATAAGTCATAGTAACAAGTTAGTACGCAATTAAGATATACATGTTCAATAAACAAAAGTAATACGCAATTAAGATATACATGTTCAATAAACAAAAGTAATACGCATGCAAATTGTATTATTATCAGCGCGAGGTAGACCGTACATAATAACATATGGGTTTTCTATTGTAAGCTTGAGAATTCAGATGCTTTCGAATTCTTCATGATCTAATTGTTTTCTGCTTGTGTGGACACATGGAACGGACATCCAGCGCCAAATAGAAACATGCATGGCTGGGGAATTGTATTTCAATTTATGTATTAGCATTAGGTTTTAACACAACATCCCTGTCGTTAATTACGTTAACATCATGCTGGCTTTCCACGCCATGCTATCACAATAAGCATGCAAAGACAGATGTACACAGATCGACCACTTGTACAAATATACATCCATACTTGGGAAGGGAACCCGAGTGATATGGCATTTCTCCGTTCCGCCTCACGTCACAATATAGCACGATGACTGCCTCACATCGTTCTCTTGCTCCAATAATACACTTGAAATTAAATGTACTTTATTATCACATCAATATGTGATAATATTTTACGTCATTCTGCATTAAAGCGTGTCTGCGTCTTTTTAGGGTTTACCGTAACCTTGTCATTTACGTCAAGAGTGTAATTAAACATCGGCCTAGCAGGCCCATTCCATTGAAACCGATAAACATAAGGCCCTCTGAGGAATATGAGATTTGTTCAGAGTTAATATTTGCCAAACAGATGATGCAAACATTAATAAAGCGATGCTTTCATCTATGAGTATGTTTCATCTCGTCTACAGTATTGTGATTCGAGTAGCTCTTTAACATTATGCCGAATGATTTGTGCGACTCCTGGGATAATTCATACATTTCAATCAAGGTTTAGATGTAGATTCGTGAGCATTCACACCCCCGAAAATTTATATTTTGTGATGATTTATTTTTTATTTTTAGACAAGCCACCACAAGTGAAACATTTTGAAAAACTAGAAGGCACTCCGAGAGAGCAAATCTCTGGTGTAAATTACTTATCCTCACTAACAACTCTATCCTATTGTAATAACATAACTATTTTATAACAAATCGAATTTACTAATTGGTATAAGCTTTTATGTTCTTTTTTGAAACGCGGGAACACATTGAGTAGTGAATAGTTTATTTACTCAACAAATCAGACAATGGCACTATATGGCAATGGCGAATAATCCATACTGCCTCCTAAAAATCAACTATCTGTTATCTGGCGATGCATAGTCATTAAAAAAATCCCTATTTCCATGGCAACGAGATCTAAGTCTAAACAAATCTATAACCTCATGCTGAAAATGCAGTGACAAATTACCCATAATTGTTAAAAATAAAAAAAAAACTCCAAAATTCCCAAAGCAATCACATTTATATGTAATTTATTGGTATTCCTGTAAAAAACAATTCGATGTGAATCCATTTATAAGATTTTTGGTAATAAGAAACAATACAAAAATAAATAAAACATTCCAAAATTCTTGCAAATCCATATCTCCACCAATATAATCGATTGGCCCCTGTGTCAACCGCAAGCACTCCTGAAATTCATGACAATCCATCATTAACCTATAGAAAATATCGGCAAATATGTTTTCTGGATCTTCTACGTGACAGTGTTCAGTGTTATGGTATAGTTTAAATGTGACACCGCAGATACTACAGAAGTAGATATAGATATTTCCCAATATCTCAAACCGGGATATGGCTTGACCCAAATAATGATGTGGTAGTACTCAATGAGTTCTAAAAACCACCAAGTTACATTCCCATCAATACAGCGTAGGTGGCGCTAGAGTCGAACTTGTATTGTGGCATTGGTACCGGCTTGTTCAACTTGGTTGCAGTATTGCAGCTAAGTTAACCAACATATCAGAATATATTACCGCGATTTGCAAAGTGGTAGATAATGAAATATCGAATTTGTCCAGTACTTGGAAACTTGCAACACTAAACAATGTTTTATGATTGTTTTATGGTTAATGCCGACAGTCTTGACTGCACACTTAAAATGTCGGCGTAGAACTAAAAACCAAAGTTACAGTTAAACTTTAAAAAAATGATTTATAATTTGAAAGGCTGTACATAAATAATAAAGTCTATACAATTTGCACTGGGTTTTACAGTTAGTCAAGCAAGATTAAACTTTACCAGCTTCAGTCTATAGGTTTGTTTGGTTTTACATGAAACTTTATACCAGTATGTGACTACCTTGTTTATCTCCACAAGACGTCTGAAATTCATTTGTAACACATTTTCTGAAACAGAGTGTTCGCCACATGAGAAGAAAACACAATATAAAAAGACCTGGACACTCTTCTACAGGAAAGCACTACCGATAAAAACTAACATGTCAAATCAAATGAACACAAATTTTGGTATTTTAGTTTTAAACCTTTGCATATTAACCTTAAACAGTTAATTACACTGCCTCATTGTAGTTGGGTAATTTCAATGCATGTAAGTCGAACGGCTAAACACGTAAAGATATCAAACCTTTGCTACAATGACATGATATCAATTTAAAGTATTTCCGTAACTAGCTAAAAGGTTATGTTACAATGTTTCAACTGATTGTTAAACTGAAGACTATACATGCCAAAAGGGAGATAACTCCTTGTGGCGATGACAAAAACGACGCCTGTTAAATAATTCGTTTCAAACAGGTTAGGAATTGCGTCATTAGTAACATTAATAGTTTTATAGTCAAATTTATGCTATTTTGTTACCAAGATGTTTGTCTCTCCTACTGATTATCATCAGTTCGATATACAGCAAAATCAAGTTAATGACATAATAGGATTGATCACTAGAAACATGACTAGAACCACTTGTTTTGGTCATTGGTTTATTTTAATAATCCCACACATATAGTTTTTCTTTGCGCTAAACCGGACATAATTGTATTCATATGCAGAGTGTAGTTTCTACAGTTGCATGTATATGCTAAGTTTAATTGCTTCAGATAACTGTTGCATGTTTGTGAACTGATATTGTCTTAGCTACATAACTATGGCATATTTTGTAAACTGACATTGTCTTAGCTACATACCTGTGGCATATTTTGTCAACCATTGTTGTAAATTAAAGCTTGGCTAGGAGTGAACAGCTTCAGTAGCACTCTAACGTCTGGAGTAGACGAGAAAATATACTTCTTCAGCTTTAGTTATTGAAAAGTTG